TCAGCCGGAGCGTGTTCAGCTGGAGCCTGTTCACCTGGAGGTGGTTCCCCCTCAGCCTGCACACCTGGAGGTGGTTCACCGGGAGCGTGTTCACCCGCAGCGTGTTCACCTGCAGCGTGCTCCCCCACACCGGGCTCACCTGAAGGGTGCTTACCTGAACTGTGCTCACCAGAAGCACGTCCAACTAAAGCGTGCTCGAATGCAGCCTGCTTGCTGAAAGCGACCCGGCCTGAAGAAGTGTCAAAGAAAGCCTCGCGGTCTGAAGGGGTTGCAAGTGAAAAGGGCTCACCTGAAAATTGCTGGACGGAAGCTTGATGATTCAAAGAGCCAGGAGGCTCATCCAGCTGACTTGGTGCTCCTAGGATGGAGAAGGAACAGAAACAGAAGATGAGGAGGAGGAGGAGAGAATGCGTGTCCGGGGTAAAGACTACTTCCCTGTGGAGGAAGGGTCCTAGGCTTCCTGTGGGCCTGTATCAGGCAACGGAAGGTATTACAGATGCTGGAGGAAGCCAGCTAATTAAACACAACGGAATGCTACTCAGCCATAAGAAAAGACGGAAGACTGCCATTTGAGACAGCATGGATGGATGGACCTTGAGAATATTACGCTAAGTGAAATAAGTCAGTCAGAATAAAAGGGAAGAACCATCTGATTTCACTCATCTGTGAGATATAAAACTGAAACTTGTGGACACAAACAACAGTGTGGTGCTGCCAGAGGGAAGCGGGTGGGGGATGAAGGGGGTCTAATATATGGTGATGGAAAATGATTTGACTTTGGTGGGCACACAGTGCAATATACAGATCTCGGTATAGAAATACACACTTGAAACCTATATGATCCTATTAACCAATGTCACCCTGATAAATTTAATTAAAAAATAAATGTCTACTGAACAAAAACATTACCAGATGGAATTAAGACACCTTTATTTGGCAATTTCAACTTCTTTCCTGCACTCAATCCCCTATCTATGTGGGTTGGAGACTCAAAGCAAAGTTGCCATCAATCTTAAGGTAAAAACATCCTTTGCTTATATATCTGAACTGAGATTCCTCGTGACATAACATTTACACCCACTTCATGGAGTTGTCATGAGTAGTGAATAAGATAAATGGTGAAGTGCCTAGTCCATTGCTAAAGTGCTCAATTAAATTTTTTAAAAAATATATTTTATTGATTTTTTACAGAGAGGAAGGGAGAGGGATAGAGAGTTAGAAACATCCATGAGAGAGAAACATCCATCAGCTGCCTTCTGCACACCCCCTACTGGGGATGTGCCCGCAACCAAGGTACATGCCCTTGACCGGAGTCGAACCTGGGACTCTTCAGTCCACAGGCCGACGCTCTATCCACTGAGCCAAACTGGTCAGGGCGTGCTCAATTAATTTTAGTTTCCTTTCCTCACTTACACTGGGAATTACAAAACTCTTAGCTGGGCATTCTCTTCTGGTCAGTCTCTTCTGCCTTTAGTCCATTTCATCAATGACTATAGACAGATATTCCTTAATTATGACTTTCATTTTATTGAGTGAAGCACCCAATAGAATTTGAGTATTACTCTTTGAGTTGACTGAGTAACCCAGAGGAGGGAGAGCAAACTACAGTGACTGAGTTATTATCCTAGTGCCAGTGGTTGGCAAACTGCGGCTCGAGAGCCACATGCGGCTCTTTGGCCTCTTGAGTGTGGCTCTTCCTAAGCCTTAGGAGTACCCTAATTAAGTTAATAACAGTGTACCTACCTATATAGTTTAAGTTTAAAAAATTTGGCTCTCAAAAGAATTTTCAATCGTTATACTGTTGATATTTGGCTCTGTTGACTAATGAGTTTGCCGACCACTGAAAAGCTGAGAGGAATTACAAGATCTTTCAGACAGATAGCCTAAGGCCCCAAAGTCCTCTAGCTCTGTAAGAGTTCTGACTCATTCATTCACTCTGGGTGATCTGCAGTCCTTAAAATCAATGACTTCCTGGAAAAACTAAGCTCATAATATGTGGATAAAGGAGGAAAGGTAAGACTTAATAAGGCTTTTAGGAGGTTTTTATTTTTAAAAGGTCGTTACAGAATTATCTGCTTGACTGGTTCTTCAATAGTTAACAGAAGCTTTAACAAAGAGATATTTGTACTATAGAAAGGAAGCTTGAAAAAGTACAGATTTCTTAGTCATCCTTATAGTTTCTGAGTCACTGCTTTGCCGTGGGGCTGACATATATTACCACCTGGTAGCTATGCATCTATGTTTCTGAGTCAACCTTTGAAAATCTAAAAAGACCAAAAACAAAATGTCTGAGAACTGACGTTACAGGAAAACGCTTTGTCATTTAACCAACAGCTCAGAGTTCGTGGCCTCTCTCTTCTCCCGGAGGAAGGAGGAGGGAACACAGCCCACCATGAATGTGGGTCCTAAAGAGGAAATACAGACACCTGGAAGGCAGGAAAGAGAGATGTGCCAGTAAACTCTGGCCCCAGCCCTGCTGTGTCCTGACACGGCTTTCTGGCACTTTTCATTCCCGCCTCCTTGTAGCTTTCCTTGCTACATTAACGGCACATGGATCTCTTGCGTTCAGTTCACAGGAACAAGCCTTCATTAGACATCCATAGAAGCCTAGACCTATCTTCTCATCTCACAGAGCATCAGGTACAAGTATCGAGTGGTTGAACGAAGTAGGAACAGGCCTGGGCCACGCCAGTGGTCTCCTCTGACGGTAAAGCCATAACTAGAAGGAGTCAACTGGCTCAGAGTTGAAGTGGTTTAGCTCTTCCTCATAATGAGTCAGACTGATTTCGGTAACTAAGGTACCGGTCTTTCTTCTTCAAGGGCTGAAACATCTTAAGATCTACCCGGAGCTAAGGTAGAGGACTCACCTCTGGCAGATCCAAGCAGATAAAGACTCATGAGCAAGAGAAACTTCATCTGGATTTTGGGAAAGAGGGAACCCTGGTGGAGGGCCCCCGAGAGCTGTGAAGAGAAACTGAGCAGAAGCTCCCAGTGCTGAGTCACTGCTTCTGGGAGTTCTAGAACCTCAGCATCAACCCATGTTTGCTAACAATGGGCTGTGCTCTGAGGTTCTCCAGCAACCCATCAAACGGTGCCAGTGCGGGTTATGTGTTTGCCACGTGCCAGGCGGTGTGTTGGGGCCCTCTGCCCTATTTTAAAAAATCTTATTGTCAAAATAACATATAGCCTTTGTAATAAAATTTAAAAGCTATATCCTCTCTTCTTCAAGTGTTCTTGGGAGTGAAGTGTGGCTGACTGGTTATTTTCTCTTTGGCGCTCTAAATCAGCCCTTCACTGACTCTGTACCCCAGAAGGCTGACCTCTATTAACTTGATTCCCTGAGTGCTGATTGGGTTTGGATTCAGATTGGGTTTAGCCAATGGAAGATTGGAGGGAGGAAACAGACACACACACATACAGAGGGAGAGGGAAGGAGGGAGAGAGGAGAGAGAGAGAGAGAGAGAGAGAGAGAGAGAGAGAGAGAGAGAGAGAGAGAGAGACAGAAAGAAGAAGAAAGAAGAAAGAAGAAGAAGAAGAAGAAAGAAGATAGAGGAGGAGGAGGAGGAGGAGAGGAGGAGACAGAGGGAGGATGTAGGTTGAGATAACAAAGAAGTAAAGAAGGAGGAGGAGTAAAAAGAACGAAATAAGAAAGCAAAAATCGCCAGAATCAAAATCCCGCAAATCACCACGGCCACGGGATTGAGATTGAAGCACTTGTTATTCCTATTCCTGCCATTCTTTCCATGATGGAGCTTCTGTTGAGTGTCCTCTCCTTCATGGTTCCAGCTCTCAGCCAGGCTATTGTAACATGTTTTTCTTCCCCTGCCCCCTTAGGCCTAAGGACAATGATAGTTTCTTTCTGTGCTAAAATCTGGATGCCCCAACTCCCTTTCCTTCCTTCCTTCCTTCCTTCCTTCCTTCCTTCCTTCCTTCCTTCCTTCCTTCCTTCCTTCCTTTCGTTTCCTTAACCCTGCCCACTTCTGTAAATAGTCTCATCATAAAGGTCTATATCAACCATGGTTTTGGCAGGAAGCAGATGGCAAACTCAAATGGGTAACGAGAGAATTTACATGCTATGGGCACAGAAAAGGGATCAACAAGGGATAGTGGAAAGCTGTGCCTTGAGCTGTATGTTCTTTCTCAGGAGTAGCCAAGCTGAGGGGACAGATGCAGTGAGGCATCCCCCTGGTATAAAGCTGGAACTTTGGGGGAACTCGGTGGTAGAGAGCCCCCAGCCTTCATCTACTTCTTCCCTGCCTGCCTCTGTTGGACCACATTGTGCTGGATCTAGAGTAGATGATATTCACCACTCTATAATTATCTGTTCAATGTGTGTTTCCTCCATTAGACTCTAAGCTCCTTGAAAGTAGGTCCCTGCCTGAGTCACTGTTGTATCCCCAGTACCTTAGCAGCATATTTGCCACATTAAAGGTCCATAATACATTTTTTTTCCTGAATGAAGGAATGAATGAATTGCCTTTTCTGGGCCTCTCTCTGCCTCCTGGATGAGAATCTATACAGAGCATCTAGAATGGGCTGGCTGAGGATCCTGGGTCAGTTGGAGAAGCAGGATCACCAGGGGACAAAAGCTGCAGAGGAGGCCTGCCCAGGAGGACAAAACTAGGATTGAGCTGGAGGACAAAACTAGAATTTCAAGGTCAAAGGCTGGGCTCATTTGGAATAAAGAAGAGCATGAAAAAACACGCTACCAATAGTTCCTTTCTTTCATGCGGAGTAAGTTCGGAGAAACAACTATGAGGTCACATTGAGTCAGACTTTTGATGCCAGAAGCCGTGGAAATTAGTGGAAAGGAAGAGGCGCTGTGGTCTACACCACCCCCCAGTTTAAAGTTTAGCAGCACCCCTCTTTGCAATTAGTATTCCTTTCCGGGTCATCCCTGTCTCACCCCTCCCCCATATTGAGAGACAGGACCTTAAAGCCTGATTATTCTCTCCTTAAACCCTGTGCTCCAACTTTTTCGTCTTTTTTTTTTTTTTTAGGTTGGCTTTATGAGACTATAGCCCAGTCCCACTCAGGGTGGCATTCCCTGAGTTCTACTTTGGAAATCTCTTTCCTATGTCCAGCAGCCTGGCACTTCTAAGCCAAACCTGTGAGTGTCTGAGCACACCGTATAAGAAAACATGATGATGGAGAATTCACTGTGGAACTTGGAGCGTTCTGGAACTAAGACATCCAAAGGTGCTCCAGTCCCCGCCTCCTTTCTCTCCCGATCTCTTTCGTCCTAATGTTCCAGTTCCAGTGCCCCTAAATGAACCCAAGAATCAGCCAGCTCAGCCCCTGTAATGTTCATGGCCCGGCTGAAAAAAAGGTGAACTGAGCCAATCAGAGTCTTCTCCCAGGAATTTGCCGTTGAGACACAGAAAGACAGAGACAATTTGCAAAAGATCATTTAGCCTCATGTGCTGAGACCACTATTTGGGGCCAAATGGAGGATGAGCAAGCTGAGAAGTCCAGGAGACGGTAACAGAGAGAAAAGAACACAGAAGAGTTGGTGACACCTTGCCTCATTCAGTAAACCTTAACTAATGGGAAATTACATAGATGTCCACGCAGGGAACACATACCACCCGGACTGGGCCACGTGGAGACCTGAACACATCTGTGACCTGAGATGGGGTTCTGGCTACACGGCCGTGCTAGTTGTAGTTATCTTGTAGGACTTCGTTTCCTATAGTCTTCCTCCCTATGCCCCTACTGCTCTTGTTCTAAACTCACTTTCCTCTAGTCCTTCTATTTTGAGACTCTGCTTACTCACAACTCCTGATTCATAACTTTCGCTTACTCACAGCCTCTGAATATTCATTACATCTGCTTACCCTTGACTTCAGAGGCGTGCCTTTGTCTATCTTTTGATCCTAGTGTGCGTTGTTGACTCTCCTCACATTTGGTTTTCTTTGTTGTTTGTTAATCCCACCCCTCTGAGGATATTTTTCCATTGATTTTTAGGGAGAGTAGAAGAGAGAGGGAAAGACAGATAGAAAAATCGATGTGAGAGAAACACATTGATTCTTGCCTCCTGCACGATCGCTGACTGAGGCCTGGGCCAGGGAGGAACCTGCAATCAAGGTGCATGCCCTTGCCCTTGACCGGAGTCGAACCTGGGACCCTTTGGTCTGCAGGCCGAGGCTCTATCCACTGAGCCAAACCGGCTAGGGCTCACATTTGGTTTTCAAGAGAGAATCTCAGTGGTCTAACCTCTCATCTCTTTTGCACAAAATTCCAATGCCAGGCTACCTCATAGGCCATTTGTGTGATTCACATGGCCAGAATGGAGGGTATCTGTGATCCCTAGGATGGCGATCCCCATGAAAAGACCTAGGAAGGGGTTGTAGCCATGGCAACCATTTTCAGGCTTCCCAAAAGTTAGAGGGGGTGAGGGTGCAGTAAAATTGGAAGGCATGTTGCTTCCCCTGGGCAGTACTACCACCAGGACCTTTTGCAACCTGTCCCCACATATACTTCCATAGGCTCATCTTTCTGCTCCACCCCCTCTCCATCTGCATCGCAAGCTCCCTCCCAAGCCACAGGCATACACAGCTGCCAGTTTTTTCCTGAGTATGCAGCATGCTCTGCACATGCATGGTTCTCTCCTCTCTTTTCCTGAAATCATACTGCGCCACCTCATCTTCCTGATGAGAATGAATTCTCAACTCTTCACACACTCCCTGGTTTGTCTTATCCATGCCAGTCACCACCTACAAATGGAAGACTTCCTGACTATCCATCTGGCCCGCAGACACCTGGCACAGGGGCCGGGTGTGGAGGGACTGTGCCAGGATGAGACTGCTCTGCCCCACGAGCTGGGCCTGGGCCGAAACTGAGGCTGCTCTCTGCAACCTCCCTTAGGGACTGATGGTAATTGATGTTCCTTCGGAGAAGTCAGCATCCCTTCCTGGCCTCCTGCTATGTGCTGGTTCCTGGAACAGGCTGTTGTCCTGACCTGGTCAAGCACGTACTAGTAATATCCCCTCCGTGGTGGCAATCCCATTTGATACCAGTGCCCATGCCTGTCTCCCCACCTTTACCCTGTGTAACCGCTGGCGCCCACCAAGCAGTGCCAGGTTCCATTTTGTCTCCCATTCACCTAAGACACTCCTTGTATGTAAGTTTCCCTTAATAAACTCGTTAATGACCAGACTGGAGGGGACAGACTTTTTTTTTCTTTCTTGTTTTTCCTTGCCCTCCACTTACCAAGGTAGATGTTTTTGTCTCAGAGCTTTCTCCTGGGTCTGCATGTACAAGCACAGGGTCAACCGAGCCTGAAGATCTGGGTTCGATTCTGCCATGTGTCCTCTTTGTCACTTGGGACCGATGACTTCCTTTTAGTTTTCTCATCAATAAAATGGAGACCTATATAGGCCCGTGTTTGAGAGTCAGCCGGAAGAACCTTGTCTGGCATATGGCAATCTCTCAATGTCACGTGTTGTTCTGGGAGGGAGTGTGTGACAACCTCCTCAGACTTCAGAGCTGGGCTGGGGAGTGTTGTACCCTGTGGAGCTTGCCCCCCATTTCAGTGTGTTTCCTGTTCTTCCTTAAACTGGGGGAGGAGGGCCATGCAGAAGGGGTGGGGGGATGTATTTGCTCTTGAAGTCTGGCACTTGGGGAAGGGTGGACCCCACGTTATGGGATGTGCCGAGGGCTGCAGAGGAACCTGAAGCCAAAGTTATAAAACATTTCCCTCAGATCAGTGTTTTAAAATGACATTTATCGCCCTAGCTGGTTTGGCTCAATGGATAGAGCGTCAGCCTGCAGACTGAAGGGTCCCAGGTTCGATTCTGGCCAAGGGCACATGACTGGGTTGCAGGCTCAATCCCCAGTAGGGGGCGTGCAGGAGGCAGCCAATCAATGATTCTCATCATTGATGTTTCTATCTCCCTCTCCCTTCCTGTCTAAAATCAATAAAATAGATTTTTTTTAAAATGCCATTTATCAAGCGACAAACAAACAAAACTCTCTGTCTTGTCTGGAATGCAGCCTGCCTGAAAAATAAGCCTAAATCTGCTATTCGGGGTTCCGTGTGTTATTAGCAACAGTCTAGGCCCGTGGTTGGCAAACTTCGGCTCGTGAGCCACATGCGGCTCTTTGGCCCCTTGAGTGTGGCTCTTCTTAAGCCTTAGGAGTACCCTAATTAAGTTAATAACAATGTACCTACCTATATAGTTTAAGTTTAAAAAATTTGGCTCTCAAAAGAAATTTCAATCGTTGTACTGTTGATATTTAGCTCTGTTGATTAATGAGTTTGCCGACCACTGGTCTAGGCGCATATCTGTTCCCATGAAATCAGGAGATTGCCATAGCTGGACTCACACATTTAGGGACGAGGTCCCATAAGTAAGGAAGATCATGTGTTGTGAGCCCCACCCAGGTTCATCTCTCACCTGAATCTCCCAAGTCCCAGGGCTGAGTAAGGCAGCCACAATTCTCCCATTTAAGAGCTGGTAGGGCCAGTGAGGGGTTCGGGAGCTCCATGCCCTCAGGCCCTGGGGAAGGGCAGCCCTCTGCCTGGGCTCCCATTGGCTGCTCCTCCCGTTATAAAGCTGGACAGGTTCTCAGGGGTTGGTGCCTGCAGCGAGCTCTGTTTTACCTTCAGCTACTGCCCTGTCCTGGGCCGGAGATGGGTACCAGCCTTTCACCGCGGCTGCTGTTTCTGCTGCTGGGCCTCTCTTTGCTTTTGGGCTCCCTGCAAGGTGAGCCCCTCCAGGGCATCTGGGGGGACCCGGGGTACTGGGTTTAGGTGAGCAGACCCACTGGGGTGCTGCGGATTGAGGGGCATGGGGACACGAGTAGCAAGACATAAGGACCTACCCTCAACATCAGAGGTGACCGCAGCCTTCCCCCCACCCCACTCTACCCCCCACCCCCCCCACCCCCGCCTCGGCTTCCTCCCCTTTGCTGCTTCCACTTTGGGCCCCATTCTGCTCCTCCTCCCTTTCTTCTTCCCCCTCTTGTCCTCATTTTACTTAAGCCTCCACCTCCCTTCCAGCTCATTTCTAACCTTGATGCTCCCCAATTCCTCACGCTTCCTTGCTGAGAGCCTTACATTTGAGTATAAAGACAGTCTTTTGTCGGTGGACGTTGGTCGGTGGTCGGTGGATGTGGGCTCCTATGGGGAGGACTGGGAGGAATGGGGAGGACTGGGAGGAATGACATGGGCGTTACAGTTGGGGTCAGGCAGACTGCTGGGTAGAACTTGACCTCCTCCAGCAGCACAGTCCACCCCTGGGAGGTGAGGAAGACCCTGTCTGTACTTGGGCACAAGCCCTGCACCCAGAGAAACCCATGTCTCCTCCCAGGTCCCTCAGAAGTCACCCGCTTCCTGCATGCATCAGGTGGGGCCTTCAGTGTCCGTCATTGTCATTGTGCAGCCTGCGTCCGGGCCAGGGGCTGTGCGCTCCCTCCTGACCTGCAGGAGGTAATGGCCGGAAGAGCCTCATGGTGTTGGTTTTGCCTTTTCAGCTCTAACGTGTTTCAAATGTGATCTACTCAACGCCACTGGTGTCTGCGAGCGCGGGGAAGGGTCCTGCCAGGCCCTGGGCAGCCAGGAGTGCTTCCTGAGGAAGGTGTATGAAGGTAGGTGGGCCTGAGCCGGCTCCGGGTGCACTTGGCCCCACCTTGAGGGCGGTGGCTCTCTCAGGAGCCCTGGGGGCAGAGGCAGAGAGGGTGGAATTTTTTTCCCCTAAGAAGTTGGGGAAGTGTCTGGGTCTGGTGCTGGATGGCCTCTGACCCTTGACCAGATAAAGAGACTTGTCAGGAGACAAGTGCTTGTGGGGGAGCCCCTGGGTCCTTGTGTCGTCCCCACACACACTCAGGGAGGACAGGAGTTGGACTATAAATGCTGCGGGAGCTTGTTTATGGTATCGATTTGGGGGACGGGAGGCCCTGGTGAGGGCAAGATTAGGGGCTGGGGGAGGGATGGCTCCTGGCAGTCTGACTTCTCGGAAGCAATGTGCTGTTTGCTTCTCCACATTCATTGAATCACGTATTTTTTTTAAAAGTTATTTTTTGCCTCTTACGTGGTGAACACGTGTGCTTGGAGGCCACAGATCAGAGATCCCTGTGTTTTTTTTTGGTCTTTCTTCCTCTCCAGATGACAGGTTCCATTATGGATACCAGGGCTGCAGGGACCTGTGCATCTCCATGTCTATCTTCAAACCAAATATTCGAGTGGATAGCGAATGCTGCCATGACGTGTCGTTCTGTAACCGGCTTTAGAGACCTGGCCCCTCCTTGCTCCGATCTGCTGTTCACTAGCCTGGGCCTCCCATGTAGCCCCTTTTTATACCCCCGTAGCCTCTCCCCGTCCCCAAACCTGCTCCTACTCAGCTACAGGCACTGATGCTTCAACAGCTTAACCCACCAGATGGAAGCTTTCTCCTGCCCCCGACCCTTGCTTCTCCCTCTCAGATCCTTGTCTCCTCCTGTTCCTCCCTTTCTCCCTCCCTTCTTCCCCCACCATTGGCTGCGCATAGCAAGACCCATCATCCTCTTTTCAAAAAATATTTTCTGATTGCTAACCCCTGAATTAGGAGCTGATCGTAGCGCAAAGATTAAGATCTGGTCCCTCCCGTCAATGAGCCTTCAGTTTAGTGGCTCTTATTCTGCCAGGTTGACCAGGGTCATCATAGTGGCTTCAATCTTGCCTTCCTCTTATTCACAGGTCTTAGGGCTGGAAGTTTTAAACACACACACACACACACACACACACACACATTCTCTCTCTCTCTCTCTCTCTCTCTCTCTCTCTCTCTCTCTCTCTCTCTCCCTTTCTCTCTCTCTTTCAGTCTTTCCCCCTTTCTACTGTTTAGCTTTTTCCCTAATAAATTTCATACATTATTTTGGTTGGTGTGGCTTGGAATTTTTGTTTTTATGTGTGTTTCTTAATTGTCACCCAAGGATATTTTCCCATTAAGTTTTAGAGAGAATGGGAGGGAGAGAAAAGGGGGAGGGTGGTGAAACATTGATGTGAGACACATCAATTGGTTGCCTCCCGCCTGCGTCCTTAATA